AATAAAGGCAGGAGCCGCTGGCGGGGTGAGCTGTCTCAGGGCTGCAGCCACTCGGCTGGTTTGTTCCTTTATTGGGGTTATTTATTTAATTTTTTTTTTCGGGATGCGGAGCAGATCAGCCGCCAGCTCACAGCTGAATTCGTATCGTGTTTCCTCGTCTGCTTTTTGATGTTTGTTTATTTGTTTGGGTTCGGTTTGTTGCTTTTCTTTTTTTCTCTTTTCTTTTTCTTTTTTCTTCTTCTTTTTTTTTTTTTTTTTTTCCTCCTGGTATTTTCTTTTCTTTCCCCGGCGGAGAGCGAGCACCTCGGGACTTGGGTTGAGGCAGAAGGAGAAAATTTAAGAATTGGAAAGGGTGGGGAGGAAAAGGCGTTTTTTGAGGACTGCTGCAGTTTTCTAAAAAAAAAAAAAAAATAATTTAGGGAAGAAAGAAATAAAAATGAAGAGTCCCTGGCCTCAGTTTTGGCGGTGTGGGAGTGCTGCGGGCCGCGGGGCTCTCCCGCCGCCGGTGCCTTCTCCCCGTCTCTCCCCTGAGCTCCGGGGGAGGGGGGTGTCGGTGCCCGTCCGGAGGGGCACGGGGTGGGGGATCCCTCAAACACCTCACGTTTTGCACGACGTGGTGTGGGGGGGGACGAAGGAGGGGATGTCCCGGCGGATTCCCGGAGCCGCGGCCGCTTCCCGGCCGGCCGCAGGCACCTGCTCCGGGCTGGAGCCGCACTTCGCCGTTTCCCGAGGCTGCGGGAAGGGCAATTCCCGGCTTTTTCTCCTCCTGACCTAACCCAAAACCCTCCGTTCCCCCCACCCCAAAACAGCGGCCGGGCGGTGGGGAACCGCACCGCACCGCTCCGTGGGGCCGGGCCGCGTCACGTGCCGCCGCCTATATCTCCTATAGATGCTCCCAATAAACCTATAGATATATCTGCACGCCCCTAGATCTGTGCGTTTCCTTGCGGGCTGAGCCGCGGTGCGGACGGGTGCGCTCCTCTCCGCGGGAGCGGCCCGGGCCCGGGGCTCGGCTTTCGGGGAGGCCGCCGGGCACCGGGAACGGATGGAAGACACCTCCGGGTGTCCGGTAGGAGCCCGGGCGACGTGTGTGTGTGTGTGCCCGCACCTCCGGGGGCCACGCCGGGTTATTTTCCCTACCGGGGAAACGTTACCGAATTGTTACCTCCAGCCGGCACAATAATCCCCTAAAATAATAGCTGGCGGAGCACAATCAGCCCCGCAATCAAGAGCTTCATCCGCAATTAAATGAAT